CCTCCCCTGTCTGCAGCCCTGCTTTGGGGCAGGACCGCTCTGGGAAAGGGGGGCCAGACCTGGGGGACCTAGTCCTGTGCAGCCATGGGGGAATAAGACTGCTAGAGGTGGCTGGGACAGGCCCCTGCAGCCTTTGTCAGGGTTTTGTCCAGCCCAGCCTGCAGCCAGTGCCAGATCTCTGGCCTGGGGGCTCCCCTCAATCCTCACTGGCAAACTTATAGCACTCTGCCCTACTTAGGCCCCAGTCCACTGCTCAGGCTGAGATGTTGAGCAATGTCTGGGCTTTGCTCGACTCTTCCTGGCAGTGGTTTCCAGTGCTCTGGTATGAGCCGAGGGGATTAGTGTGTTGCTAATCTCGCTGTGTGTCTGGGAGGGAAGAATGGGTCAGAGCTGGGGCTGGGAGCCTGTTGCCGTTGGGCAAAAGCATTCTGGACAAGGTGCTTGGACTAGCAAAGCATAGGGGAATTAGGGGAATAATCTGTTGCTGTTGATCCCAGAGACGGGAATTTGCAGCGTTGTGCCAGGCCCCAGGCGTGGAAGAGGGGGAGAGCCAGGACAGTGGACGTGTGAGCAGAGCTCCTGGCTGGAATGCACCAGCTCAGCAAAGGATTGTCCTCCCTGGGCCAGGCAGGCACTGTGCCGTGAGCCTGGTGCCTGTGATAACTGCCCAGGCCATGGCGGCAGCGGACAGCTCCTCAGCCACTCTCCAGCGCCGTGACTTGTGCAGCCGAGGCATCCGCCTGGCCGTTTTTTCAGATGTCGTTGATCTCCTGGACACCTATGGGAGTTTGCTCTGCTTGTTCTGGCTGCCCATGGGACTGGGAGTGCTGGTGGAGTGGCCACTGCTACTGGGGTCTGGGGGGCTCCTGGCAGCCATGCCAGGGCATGAGGGCTCTGGCCTGTGGTAGAGATAGGGGATAAAATCTGGGCCTTGGTGCTGCTGGATGATGCTTGGGCAAACCTTGAGCACCTGGCCTTGCCCCAGATGCCTCCTGGCCAGCACCAAAGCTGAATCGGGGTCCCCTGGAGCCAGTGCTGGCGGGGCTTGGGGTGGGGGGTCCCCTTGTTTCTCCTGCCCCTCGTGACCCCCTGCCGCTCTCA